CTGGAACTACCGTTGTTGAACTGACTCACAAATTACCTTTATTTGTGGTATAAGAGTATAATTTACGTGAGTTCAGTTACCGGAGAGTTTGCGGCTCTCATATTTTTACATAATATTGAAAAAAAACTCTTAATTTGTTGAGCCATAGCTCAAAGCTTCAATTTTCTGCGAGCTGATATTTAAACCGGTGCAGAACTGAACACAGACCTAAATACAGTATTATTATGTACTGCTGAGCGCACATTTAACGTTAAAATCCACTGTACTCACTACCCATGTGTGAAACAAGCATTATAATGGTTAGTTCTGTCCAAAAAATACAACAGAAAGACAAGACAATCCGTATGTTAAGATTAAATTTTACCCATCGGGCCAGAAAAGTTGCACTATACTTTATTAAGTTAGGTGGGCAGTTTATTGGACAGTCCAGAGGTCCTAGCACGAAAATTTCCAAGTATTCATATTGTATTACGTCGATTTGTTGTGTATCAATTTTTTTAGGGTTTCGGGAGTAAAGTGGCAGATTTCAAACTCATTACGGTATTTTATCGCAAATTTTCGTGCTAGACCCTCAGTTGTCAATCACTAAAAAAACTTACATACTTTGTCTAATTAACATAACTTTCAGAAGGGAAGTGGTTAAGTAATCATAAATCTTATACAAGTTAGTTTAAAATAAAATAAAACTAAATACATGGTTGGACTTTATGCATAGTTGAAATCAAAAGAAACGAAAAATTTCATAAATATCGAAATAGCTGACAATTGTTTATTTTTTTAGATATTTTAGTGTTTAGAAATGTAGTTTACAATCTGTAATCACAGACTTATAAAAGTTAATATTGTTTACAAATATAAATTCTCATATCCATTCAATTTAGAGTTATTTTTGACCGACTTCCCAAAAGGAGGTACTCAATTTGTCTATATGTTTTTTTTACTTTTGGCTTCACGAGTATTATTCAAAGATCTCTCTTTACCTTTGTTCAATCACAAGTGTCACGATGTATTTATATTTAAAGATAATCTTAAGAAAAATATACAGTTTTATGTAATTATATGTCTCTTGTGCCGAGACCAAGTTAAATTTTAACTACAGAATACAAGATACAGTAGAACCTCGATAAGTTAAAGTCCACGGGAAACATAAAATATTTGAAGTTATCAAGGGTCTATGTTGTAGAGGTTTTGGGATCTGATGGGAAGGGAACATATTATTTTTTGAAGTTTGAGGTTTTTAAGTTACCGAGGTTTGAGTTATCAAGGTTCCACTGTAATTATTAAGTGTAAAAAAACAGTATATCATAAGATATTTTTTTCCTTACTTTACCAAAGGAAGTAAGTTATTGCTAAATTTGAACTTAATATTAGAGGCTTACATTACTTTCAAATGAATTTTCTAATTATGTTAATTAAGAAAGCTACACTGGTGATGAAACTCTGTTTGAATAGATTTTTATTCATAAGCATTTTAATGTATTACGAAATTGGTTAAAAAAAGCATATATCAATCAATTTGTTGATTCTGTGTAGCCTCTTTATTTTCCGCTTTCCTCATTTTCTTAGCTCGTATATCTGCCATTGTTTGTTCAATAGAACGCATATCTTTTTTATTCTCACTCGGTACTTCACCATAACTTTTATTAGTGTTAGTCTTCTGAGCTGCATCTAATGCTGCATCTTCACCGATAAGATGTGCATATTTCTGCTTATAAAATGTACCACTAATTTCCTCCTTTCCATGCTTCCGTTTCCTATTTTTCTCCTCTTCGATATCCAAAGCTGCCTGCTTCTTCATTTTAATATGTTCCAAAGCCATTTCAGCTGCTTTATCTTCACTCCATACACCACCACTACGTCGTACACTAAGCTCGTCCTCTGAAGGTCCCCGTTCTTTTGTGTAAACAACCGAATATCTGTCAATTCCGTCTTGACCGAAGGAGAATATCTGCAAGCCAGCGGTCTCAGCCACATCACGGATTATCGACCGATAAGTTTGCTCCATCGGTTCAAATTGTAATGAAGGTTTGTTGCCATCTTTCACAAATTCCCCTATTTTTTCTTCCACTGCCTGTCTGAATTTTTTTAATCTGTTCTTTTCATCTTTTTGCTTACGTTCTAATGCTTCTTTCTGTTTTTTGAGTGCGCTCTTTTGAGCCTCGCTGGCAGTTGGTGGTTTTTGCATTGAATTTAAAATTGAATCTAATAAATCCATTTTGCTATATTTTGTTTTCCGGACAGAATGATGTATAGGCTATTATTTTTGCAACTCGTCTCTGCCAATAGATGGGAACTTTGAAATTTTCTAACTGTGATTCAGCATCAAGTCCCTTTAATTCGTATGTTTTTAATGATGACTCTATGAATGAATGAAATTGGCTTCCGTATGTTATAGTATCTTCGATAAACTCGAGGAGTTGTTCTAGTGGAGGCTGAAGGGATGTCCCAGTCACCAATAAGCTGGATGGTGGAAAATTAATTTCCTTGCAATATCCTTTTACAGTGTTGGCTTTGTTGCAAAGATTATCAAATGCCTCGTCTATGATTGTACTGAAACACAAATAAATTATTAAACATTGTAATTTTATTTATTACATTAATAGAATGAAAAAATACTTTTTTTGTTAGCACCTCTTACTATCTGACAAACAATTAGGTTTTTAATATAATTTGAAGTTAAGCGTCAGCTTATAATTTAAGATGGTATTGAATATTGAAATGTTAGAATATCCATAAGAGCTGTATCTATAGCTTTGACTATAGAGTGAAGAAAAACTTGATGCAACCTGTCCATTATGGTGATGAAATTTAAAAATATGTATAGATACAACCCGCACTAGGCCAATGTAGTTGACTATGTCACCATAATAGATGACACTACCAGTTTTTAAAATAGAAAATATATGGTTAGATAATACTGTAATAATTGACCTTTATCCATATTTTAACAACTGTCCACATACATTTAAAGTTATTGAATTATATGTTTTTAAGTGAAATTAATAGATAATTGTGTTAATTTAGTTTCTTAAAAAGGTTAGCTAATTTCTAACATTAGGATATCACCATGTTTCATACAAAGAACCTTTTAACATGTTATACAAAAAATATACTGTAGATGACTTCCAAGATATCTCATCATATTCCCTTTCTTATCCTACTCCTGTAGGGTCGGCACACCAGTTTTTGTAATCCCAGTAACACTATATTCCATCAACTCATGTGTCATTCACTTCTTAATCATATTATCTTTCATGCTATCCATCTATCTCTTTCTAGGTCTTCCTCTAGTGTACCTCACACTCACTAAAGTTCTCTTTTTTACATGTGATTCATTCCTCCTCATAACATGCCCATACCATGCTAACCTTTTCCTCTTTAATTTCTCTACCACTGGGGCTACTTTCAGATTTACTACTTTCATTTTAATTGACTTTCTAAGACATAATTCCTATTTGTTTATAAATTTTCCAAGAACATACCCTTGTTTTCGAATTTCATTGATTTCAACTGTGATGAGGTTAAGCAGCCAGTTTAATAGCTTCCAGGGAACATCTTCAAAGTTTTCTAACGGCGTAAGAACCAAGTCCACTCTAAAATAGACATTTAAATATAAATCCTTTTTAGAAACAATAAACAAATATATAGACACTCTCACGACAGTGTACTTACTTTTTAATATTATTACAACGCTGGGTAAGTTTATTTATAGTAAATGCACTCTTTTGGCAAGTTTTCAAACACCCTTTTGACGTATTTTGAAACTCATGAAAAGTTAAAAAGTAATCGACGATTTGTTTCTGCACTTTAGGTTCCATTATACAAAGATATGAGCATTTTCTTATCTTTGAATTGAAACGAAAATCAAAAGAAAATGGTCTTAGTCTGCTGTCAGCCGGTTCTCTTTGTATTTGTATTGCACAGATTAGATATATTTTTTATCTGCTTTTTCTCTAATAAATCGATAACTCAATTAAAAAATGGACATTTTTGTGGGTTTACCTTGTACTGTATTTTATCTAACCTTTGAAAAAAAATTAAATTAGAAAGAATTTGTCTTAAAAATATTTACAGATTTTTTTAGATAGCAACACTGGTGGCAAATAAAAAAAGCAAAACGATGTTAGTGAAAAAAAATAGTCTTGATCTCAACTTGATGGGTGGAGTATGTGTACTTCTTATAGTCATTTTGCTAAAATATAATACGTAATACGTTCGCAATTTTGGAGTACCAAAATACATTAAATGCTACGTGAAAATGGACTTAATAGTGAGATTTCTAAAATAAATTTTATGATAGGTGGAGTAATTGTGTTGTAGTGAAAATGAATGGTAAAATGCATAGTGAAACCGGCGCTTTCTCATCTGATAGCATGCGCGCCGAAATATTGAACCCTTTCGTTCATAAATTGGAATTAGATAATACATACGACAAAATAAAGGTAAGCTTGATCGACTCATTACCTTGTTATTGAATTAATTATAATACAAGGTAATCGCTATGTATGTAAATAGATTAGGATACAAATGTTTTCTGCGCAGACTCCGCGTTCACAAAGTTTAGATTGCATTCTCATGGTAAAATAAATAAAACATTGTCTTGATTTGCGTGTATTTTATTATATCGTTGCCTTCACCTTTAAAATGTTAATGTCAATAATTAGTTGAAGATAACATACTTGTATTAAAATTAATTTAATTAATTGCGAACTAAACATGTTTGATACTTTAATATTTTAAAATTACAAAATAACATTTTGTAATTTTCTTATATTGTTGTAATGTTACATTATTTAACACAAAAATAAAAACAAATTTGATACATATCTCCTTATTAAAAAAAAGATGTAGATTTTTTTTAAAACCTAAGTCTAGCTTAAATCTTCCATCGTTTTCGTTTGCGTGCTACCAAATTGCAGGGTATTCAAAAGCGCAGGATCAATAATGGGGCTTTCCGATGTCTAATAATAGATGCGCCTTCAATCAATATCTACTGCAACTCTATACTTATTCGTTTCTCGTTAGTTTTTATAGTGTTTTTTTTGTTAATCCGAATGTCGAAATTCGAAATTCGAATTCCAAGAAAGTCTTGTTAGCATTGTAAACAGCCAGTAATGTATTCAAATCCATAAAAAATCTGAACCAATGAATCGGATTTTTCGTGATGGCTAACATGTATTTATTTTCAGGTGTTTTCTATTTAGTTTTGATTGTCTTGTGTTTCTTTCTTTATAACACAGCTTACGCCCGTAACCCAGAAGGGTAAGCTGAGACTAGTTTCTCATTTATATAGTTTCGGGTTTGTCCAGTTTCCTAATAACTGCAGTATTCATGACTGTTACGATTATTAATAAAATAGAATTGCCTTTTGCGTACAAACCTTTTACTAGGCTATATTTTTATATGTATTATAGGTCTATTATTTTTGAATTTCTCCATTTTGATCATTATTCGATTGTACAATGAACTTTATTACCATAATGTCTAGTTCAGATAGAAAGTGGCAAGTAACGGTCATTGCTTGCAGTATTAAGGTTGAAAGTGATGTGCTTACATATAGAAATACTTTCGTATCATTAGATTCAACATACTTGTAAAATAGATTATACATTATGATTATAAAAATGTTATCGTAGATATGTATTGGATTATGTTAATAATTTTATGATATTAAAGGTAAATATCAAGATTGTTTAGGTCACGTACATATCCGTAGAAAAGAAAGTAACTGCAAATTGTCGATTTAGATGAGAAGTGGGCATTGAGGGAAAGTCGTTTTTCCTATACATCTTTGCGATCCCCATGACATACGTATTACAGGGTGACCATATCCTAGGCATCTATAAGGATTGTCCAGATTTTAAGAATTGTAAAATCCACTATTGAATGTTAAATTGATTTGTTTATTTGTTAAATGCTTATTAAACCAACATCTATTTTTATTACTTATCTTATATCGTGTACGTGATATGTACAGTGTTGCCAACACAATGGATTTATTTTTATCTTTACAGTATGTCAAAGAATAAAATTTTTGAAATCATACTAATATTATAACTGCGAAAGTTTAGATGGATGGATGGATGTTTGTTAGAGATTATATCTTAAATGACAGAACGGTTCTGGATGAAATTTGACACAGATGCAGAACGTAGTCTGGAAGAACACATAAGTTACTTCCATTTTTTCACGCGGACGGAGTCGCGGGCAAGAGCTAATATAGTAAAAGATTAAGATTTTCTTTACTAATTAAACATTAGTTCTTTACTATACTATAGTAGGCAATTATAAATGTCCATAAATTAATCTGGTGATCCTAATCACACGCGCACTGCCTGCAGCCATGACATAACTTATCCAAGATGAAAGTTGATACGATAATTGTTTAGTTCCTACTCGCATAAGTCTACGGAAACCAATAAGCTAGCTTAGCTTCTATAATATTTTTAAAATGGACAGAGTAGTTTTTGTGTTATTTAAATAAAAATCTTTCTTCTTTATAATACTAGTATTGATTCTATCCCTATCTTTGCTATAATAGACTACAAAACATACATTTGTCAAATATCTTTGTGCCTCGGAACATCGAATCTCCGAACAGAAAACAATTTTAGGTGTTGCGAGTTGCGAGGTAAAATGGTTCGGAGGACATTATGGTACCGCCTACATCTTTAAAAAGATTTGTATTAATACAAATGCATGGCATTCAAATTCTCCCCAAAGGAGTAAACAGGGACTAAGATAATGGATTTCGAGTAACCGCGGTACTTTGACACCCATTTTGCGTCTTCCATAATCATATCTCAGTTTACTCCTTTGATATAAAAATTCCACTCAATAAGACAAGAGAAAGTTCACACATGTTTAAAATTTTCGAGCACAACTAGAGTTTACTGTTTTATGACGTATTCTGCGGTCATTGACCTCTCGCATGTCAAATCTTTGCGTTACTTATTCCGCTGACAGTACATCATTGAGATTTAGAGCGGGCGTACACCTTTGACTAAACTATCGCACAATTGTTGTGCGAATGTCGATAGTTTCGCAAAAACACAACTGTTTAGTTGCACAACTAAAAGCGCATCATATAATCTCATTGGAATCAAAGCGCGAATAAATAGTAGTGCAATAGTTTAGTGAAAGATGTGGTTTTAATCAACTTAGTTACTAAGTAGAGAAAAGAAGCAATTTAAATAAGTCTCCATAAGGCATAGGTATTCCTGGTATACAAAACTCGTTTATTGATCTGGAAATCCGCTACATTCACAGTCGTTAATAAGGAACAAGCCGTCAAATTCCTTAACTTTTGAATTCTCAATTAACACTTTCCGAGTTACGATTTTACAATGTCATAAGAATAAAATCATACTTGTCTTACTAATATTATAAATTCGAAAGTTTGGATGGATGGATGTTTTTAGTAGATATCTCCAGAAGACCTTAATGGATCTGGCTAAAATTTGTCACAGAAGTAAGGCTATAACTGCAAAATCCAACTTTGGATGACAAGCAGTTTGTATACAGCCAAAGAGGTAGCATACTGGCCACCAAGATAAGTCTATTTGAATGTAAAAAAGTAAATGACAAGCAAAGTAGTTACATAATCTTTGGTTATATACTCTTTGACTACACACTCTTTGGTAAAAAACAAGAAAAGCGCGGGAAGTGTAAAACGTGCAAGATTATTACAATCTATACTATACTATTACAATAAACGATACATAACTGAATGTGTTAAAGTAATTATTGTTTTTGCCAAGTTCGAAATTGCTTCGATTCGAATAATATTTACTTCGCATGCAACAGCTTTTTACACTAATGAATATGATTAACGTTTTGGTCCGTGAAGTTTTTGCAAGTTGTATGGTTACTTTCTAAAAGTTAATGCGGATTGTGCACAAATATGCTCTTGTTTTTCTTTGAGGAATTAACTTTACGTCAGTATGTTAAAATAAAAACCTAGAACTCAACTACTTGACAATTAAGAAAAAAATATTCGTCGATAAAAAGACGAACTCTAGCCATGTTCAGGAAGTACTCAATCATTGTCATCGTTGATTCAGATACCACTAAGTAATACAAGATAAATTATACAAATAACTTCGTATTCTTATAATAAGAGGCCTGAAAAATGATCGATGGATGTATGACGTGGTTTAAGATAAATAAGCGACCAAATTGTTCAGATTTAGAGGTTACTTACACCTTTGAAACTATTGCACATTTGTTTTGTCCCACTTTTATTCTTATATAATATGAAGGTGCGCACATTACTCGATTTTTACTTGAGAATTGGCTGCGAAACAATGAAACAATCGACAATCGCTCAGTGGCCTCCCAATCTGGTAATAATAACGAAGTAACGGCTCGTGCCGAGGCTCCTGAGGGAACCCTCGTGCTTAGTTACTCATAAACAAGGTTTAGGCTAAGCGCCATCTGCGCTCGGCCACCTCAAGTCCGGTGAATCTGTAAATGCCTCTTCAAGGCAAACAGTAGCCATTCAGTCACAAAAAAATCGACAATCGCTTCATCAATTAGAGTAACAAAACTGCCAGATAGATGATGAAGAAAAAAATATCATCATACAAAATTAATGCATAATATTAAATGGATAATGTTCTAGAATCTTCGACAGAATTCTACGTAGTAAAGTAGACGAGGAGAAAATCTGAAGCCGTAACAAATATTCCATTGCTCAGAGAGGTGTAAAAAATTTAACCAATTCGTACTGTAAGTGCAATAAATTATTTATGAAGTAATGAAAGGGCGTGAGGTATATATTCATTATTTCGCGGCTCGGGTCAGACGTGCCGTAAATGTCATTGAGGTGATAAATTTTATTGAGATGTTAATTTATAACAGTTCTGCATATTTGACCTCCGTGAAGCTTTTTTGGGGTTACTTCTATAGTAACATTTTAAAGCGGAAAGATTTTTATTTTTGAAATAACGCAATAACTACGGGGACGATTTCAAAAAATATTTCATCATTTGAAAGCTACATTATCAGTGAGCTTAAGCTATCTTTTTTTATTATTTTTTTAGTTCACGCAGGCGAAGTCGCACGCAACAGCTAGTTCATTAATATAAATAATTTTGGATATACTTCGAAATTATGTAAAAAGATTAGCATTTGCTTGCCTCCTACGTGTGTAGGAAATTAAAAATCTATGAGTTCTTTGAAGAATGCTAGTTTTTTGTAGCCTTTATTCTACATCTGTGTTCTTTTTCGAGATCGATTAAGCTGTCTATCCAAACTTTATAATATACTCGTAAATAAGAAGTAAGATATGGGATACTTTGTACGGATGATTCCTGTCACGTAAATTGCAACGCAGCTAAACTTTGTGTGAAAATGACTGGCAAAATAATGTTCCTATTTATTGTTTCAGACAGCAATATTCACTGTGATCCTGCTTCCGTTCAGGGTGATTGTGATTTTATACCTCATTGTAACGGCCTGGTTCCTCGCCTGCATTGGATTATACGGCCTCAGTGAGGATGACCTGAGAAAAAAACCTATGACAGGATGGAGAAGGTAATCATCTTGAGATTATTTTTGAACAAGAAATAAATTGATACATTCTAGGTTATGTTTGGAATTTTTTTAAGGCGTGAGTTTAAAATTAGTACTTTTGTTTTAAAAAACAAGATTACAAAACAATTATCCTAACATTTTACCGTTTAGTGCCAATTTTCGTTTTAAATCTATTCTTTACAAATGTCCCGTCGATCATTTAGTTGCAACAGCGTTGCAAGGTTATTTTAAAATTAGTAAATGCATTTTTAATATCAGTTTTCACCTTGAATTATGCCAATTTCTATAGATAATTCACGGAACATTATGTTGAGAAATCCCGCTTTTATGTCCATACTCTAAACCTATCCACAATCTGTTCAAAACCTTCCCTATAGTATGTCTAAAGTATTTAGATTAGTTTGACAATTCATTTCAAATTTAGTAGGGATGGGTTGTGTAATCAGTCAGGAATCTTATCGATTCGATGGATTTTTATTCTTGTAGAAGTTGGAATCGATAGATTTATAGTTATAACTTATAAAATAAAAAAAACACAGTTTTCTCAAATAAATAATGACCATAACAAATAATGAGAGTAAATAAATGTTTATTACTACCACAGCCGTACGTAATCGAATTGGATTTCGCTAATAATAGCGAATAATTTTGTCATCGCTAAATTCTCTACACTATAATCAATACTAGAACTGTCCTCCAAATAAGTGAATAAAAAAATAATATTTTTAGTTGAGTTTGATAATTATTTAAACCGAATATCGATAGTTTAAAATTGTCCGCTTTGTGTGTATGTTCATCACTACGATACCTGTCTATTAAGTATGGCATTTGCCTTCATAGAAATTGAATTCGATACTTTGAATGCGTCATTTATCAAACTAATCTTTCTTATTTAGACAAACTATAATCACTTTTTTTTTTAAGTTACTAGCCAGTAATGTTTAAATTTCGAATTGTGACGTCATACTTCTAACCGGTTTTAACGTCCTAAATAGCCAGTCTCTCGGATGTCTAGAAATTGGCTCAAGGTCAAATCTGACAAAAATCAAACGTAGCGTGAAGGTTTCCCTACTGTTTACAAATACGTGTCTAATATTGTTCATTGTTATGTTTCAAACGAGCCGGATATCGTTAGCTGGTACATTTATGTCAATGGTCTCTATAAAATGGATAGTCGTTGCTTTGAAATGTCTAACTTTAGCTTAATTCCGACTTAAAAAGGCCTGTTAATATTACTTACGGTTTGAATTTAAATTTAGTTTCAATTTAAACAATCAGTATACAGTTTAGATCTTGTCTTCGCTGAAATAGCGACAATCAAAGAGGCACAAATATAAAATAAAACTACAATGGCTTATAGCCTATCTATGGTCAATGTTTTTTTATGTTTTTGTTTTATCTAATTGCAGTACTATCCTGTATTCTGTAAAAAATTGTAATCAACATTTGTCTTTTTTAATATCAATAATAGACTGATTCTTGATATTGAAATTCAATAATGTTACCCCCTTGTGACAAATGTCAAGTTAGTATCCCCTGGGCGAGATATATACACTCCCTTTTAGCCCTTTTGTGAAGAGAAGTGTAAATAGGATTCCGCCCCTTATGCACCAACGCCCTGGGCAGTTTTACAACAGCACCCTACTCTAACGCTGGCCCCGTTTCAAGTAATCAAAGCGTCCATAATCTTTCCCATAAGCATTTTCACACACGCTACTTTGTGTGGACATTACCTTAACGATGTTACTTGTCACATTTGACCTTGATGCTAGATAAAGGTCACGTTCCTACATTACACCTTAACACCTAAAGATAAGGTCGACATTCCTTTGTCAGATTTAGATACATCAGGGTCTTCGCTTGGATTTCAAATGTTCAATGCATTTTTGACCGACTTCCCAAAAGAAGGAGGTATTCAATTCGACGGTATATTTTTTTTTTTTTTTTTTTTTTTTTTTTTTTTT